CGGGGGGGGGGGGGGGGGGAGAGAAGGGAACGGAGGCGAACGAGGCGCGAGAAAGGGAGGGGCTTCTCGCCGTCACTCAGCGGCTCGCGGGTCTCCTCCCGGGAACGAGCGCGCGGGAAAGCGGAAAACGCGATTGTCCTTTGAAGGGGGAGGGGAAGCGGGCCGGCAGGGGGAGCGCACGCGCTCGCGCCTCGGCTCCTTTTTTCCCCCTCCCTCTCGCGCGCGGCCCGCCCTCCCGCTTCCCGCTCGCGAGCGCGCGTCTTGTCCTCAGTTGCCCTGGCGACGGGGGGGGGAGATGGGAATAGCGCGCGTGCGCGGCTCCCCGCTCTCCTCGTGCCGCCGCCTCTTTCGGAAGGGATCCGTTGAGGTTTCCTCACGAAGGGAGCAGGCGCTCGAAAGCACACGGCGTGAATGCGACCGTCACGCAACTGCCCCCTCTTCCTTTTTATAATAAAAAGTCACCTCAGGGGGGGTGGGGAAGAGCGCCACAAATATATAAGTAAACCACGAATATAAAGTGATTATATGTACAAAATGTATGAAAAACACCTCCCCGAATCACAGACGCATCGCTAAAAAAAGGGCTATTCCCTACAAAAACTGGGAGTAAGTAAGCTGAATGGAAACCAGAAGTTTACTTCTGAGTAAAACCGAGCTTTCGCTCTCCAGTCAAGCCAGCCATTCAATTAATATATTAATTCTTCTGTGCCGCACCCCCAGTGTGCTCATCCAGCCACACCTACCTTTTGCTTCTTATTCTGTTGATCTTGTTTGTTGTCAAAACCCAGAGCTTTTTTGTAGCAGGAACTCCTTTGCATGTTAGGCCACACACCCCTAATGTAGCCAATCCTAATGAGTTTCTGCTATTGGGTGTGGCCTATTATGCTAATGAGTTCCTGCTGGGCGTGGCCAACTTGGGAGCCAGCCTAACTCCGTTCCTGTGCGGTCCTGCCCAAAAATAGCCCTGCTTCTGTGTCAGAAAAGCACCATAGTATTTGTACATGAGGATATATACCACAATATGTGCGGACGTGTGTATTGGAGACAAGGGTTGCCAGCACTGGGTCGGGAAAGACCTGGAGATTTGGGGTATTAAATACTGGGTTCCTAATACATAACATGGGAGTGGGGCCTAGGGAGTGGAGGGACCTCAGCAGGGTACAGGGCCATAGCCTCCACCCTCCAAAGCAGCCATTTTTCTCCAGGGGAACTGATTTTGTCCACTGGGAGCTCAATTGTAATAGCGGGAGATCTCCAGGTGCCACCTGGAGGTTGGTAACCATAATGGGAGAGCACAAACTTATGGTAGAAATTATTTTAGGAGGCAGTGATATTCAGGGAACACCTGTGGCTCTTTTGTGCACTGTTCCCTGATGTGGTACCTGCCTCTGATGGGTATCCCAGAACCAACTTGCTTTCCACCCAAAAGAAAGAGCCAATCCAGGGTTCCCTCCACATTGGAACACAAGATGCTTCCGGAGAGCCCATGAGGCATCACTTCTGGGTCTGCTGGGGCTAGTGCCTGTTCAGAAATAGCTGCCTCCACCGCAGGAGACTTGCTTGGCTTGTGGCATCCCGACATTTTGTGGAAACCGCAAACGTTTTGTGTTTGGTCCCTCCCGCCCATTCTGCCACTGGCGCTATATTTGTGGCGGTGCCCATTGCCTGTTCCGAGCATTCCAGTAAGGCTGACAAGCTTGGGGAATGTGCTTCCAGCAGTTTGCTGAGTTGCACTGGAGGCTTCCAAAGTTTTTGTAGTTTTTGCTTCATTCACAGGTGGCGGCACAGAGGTATTCCTGCAGGGCAGCTGATCCACCAGCCCAGCTGATGTATCAACAACAAACAACAAACCTTTATTGGCATAACAGCAGCAGCCTTGGTTCAGAGATAACAGGAAAGGGAAAGAAAAACCAAACAATTAACTACTCATTCTGAAAGAAAAGACCACCAGCCCAGCTGAGATCCCGAGAGAGAGATCCTGCACCTTGTAAGGGACTACAAGCTGTTGCCAACCTCTAGGTGGGGTCTGGAGATCTCTTGGAATTACAACTGATCTCATAAGAGGACTCTATGGCATTATATCCCATTAAGGTCACTTCCCTTCCCAGACTCCACTTCCAAAACTCCAGGAATTTCCCAAACCTAGCCCTTCAGCCCACTCGCAGCAATGTTTCTCTGCCCCTAGCCAAAATCCCAAAAAGGCTAATTCTAGGGTTGACAGTATGTTCAACTGAAACCTGTGAGTCGGCCGCAGCACCTTAGCAAGGTGAAGGAAGGGGATTCATAAGAACATTAGAGACGCCAATGTTGGATCAGGCCAAAGGCCCATCCAGTCCAACACTCTGTATCACACAATGGCCAGAAATACCAGGTGCCATCAGGAGGTCCACCAGTGGGGCCAGGACATTAGAAGCCCTCCCACTGTTGACCCCCCCCCCCCAAGCACCAAGCATTCGATGTGGGACAGCAACCGTGCTTCTCCACCTGAAAGAAGTATCAGAAAATATATTACCGTCTCTGTTCTACACTAAAAACAAAACACCCAAATGCTTTAGCTTTTCTCTGTAGAAAATATCTCTCTTCCATCCCACTAGGTAAACATGCTTATCACCAGGCTTCAGTGAATCCAGTTGGGCTTACTTCCAAGTAAACACACAGAAGATGAGATTGTAAGTCATGTACTCACTACAACTGGACAGGAGCTGTCTATCTGCTGAAGCTGTAAATGTCAAGACCTTTTGCGCAGGAAGAGTCCATCTGTACGTTGGAATTTCAGCAACCCCTTAAGGGTCCACAGCCATTCACAGAGTAACCTTGGGCCAGTTCCCAGACAATAACCCTGCAGTTAAAGCTCTGCTTTATCCCACAAAAAGGTGCTAGAATCCAGTGTGAAATTTCCAGACTGGCAGCATATGTTATTCTATTCAATGATGCCTTAACAGACTTTTCTTCTGCTACAGGTGTCATATCACAGCCAAGCTGTGAAGATGGTTTTTATCACCAATTACAGCTGTTTTGAAGAGGGATGGCTACCAAATTCCATTTTACACATCCCCATGTCGTTTTCACCTCTCCTTTGCACAAAATAAATCCATGAGCCTTTAATTTCATCCCATGATCTGTTTCCTTGCACCATATTTTTCCTGTTACATTTAAACAATTTGAGAATATTCCTTTTTTTGCATCCATTGTGCATTTTTGTTGTTCAGCCGCACAGTTGAGTTCAACTCTTTGCGACCCCATGGACCAGATCCCGCCAAGCCCTCCTGTCTTCTGCCGTCCTCTGAAGTTTGCTCAATTTCATGTTCGTTGCATCGATGACACTGTCTAACCATCTCATCCTTTGCCGTCCCCGTCTTCTTTGACCTTCAATCTTTCCCAGCATCAGGGTCTTCTCCAGTGAGTGCTCCCTTCTCATTTGGTGGCCAAAGTATTTGAGCTTCAGTTTCATTATCTGGCCTTCCAGGGAACAGTCAGGGTGGATTTCTTTTAGGATTGACTGATTCGATCTCCTTGCAGTCCAAGGGACTCTCAAGAGTCTCCTCCAGCACCATAGTTCAAAAGAATCTAAAAGTAAGCATATAACTTTTTACATTGTCTTATTATATAAGGTTGTTAAGTAGCTAATCTAGGAGAAGGTAAAACTGTATGTAACTCAATTTTTATGTTATGTATGAGAAATTTAAACATAATGTGAAAATGTAAAACTTTCCTCTTTTTATATATTTTTCTGAAAACCAATTTATATATATATATATATAATGTTGAGCTTCAAGCCCACTTTTGCGCTCTCCTCTTTTACTCTGAGCAAGAGGCTCTTTAGGTCCTCTTCACTTTCTGCCATTAGAGTGGTATCGTCTGCATATCTGAGGTTGTTGATCTTTTCCCCAGCAATCTTAATTCCCGCTTGTGATTCATCCAGGCCAGCATTTCGCATGATGTACTCTGCATATATATTAAATAAGCAAGGTGACAATATACATCCTTGTCGTACTCCTTTTCCTATGCGAAACCAATCAGTTGTTCCATATCCGGTTCTAACTGTCGCTTCTTGACCCTTGTACAGGTTTCTCAAGAGGCATGTGAGGTGGTCTGGTACTCCCATCTCTTTAAGGACCTTCCATAGTTTGTTGTGATCCACACAGTCAAAGGCTTTAGCATAGATACATAGCATAAAATTGCGGAAGGAAGACAGACAGACAGAAAGGGATTCAGAGCACCAGGAATGAAAATGTGTAAAAGTCAAAGACTCACAACATGTAATTCTTCGGAAATCAAAAGAAACAAAAAAAAAATTGGTTTTGAATGGATCGCTCCGTGCTTATTTTATAAGTATATCACAGCATTGCCCAGATATGTCACAGTTTAGCTGAGTGCCTTGTATTTAAGGGAATTTGGACCACATTGTTTACATTTCTAATCTCTCTGTCCCTCATCGTCCAGCCACACGTTTGCCGGCTGACGATAACGTTCCATGCCTCTGACAAAAGCAGGTGCAGTCCACAAAAAGAGTCTGCTCCAGCCAATCTCTCTAGAAACCCCTTCTCTCTGTTGTCTAGCCCCTCCACCGCAATCCAGTTAGCAACACTGAAACTGAAATT